CATGAAAATAAATACTAGCAAAAAATTAATACCAATGTTTCCTCTACTAAAAAGAAATGGATAAAAATAATGAATTTTCTGACTTTGCTTTAAAATATGGCATTTAAAAAATATTTTAATTGATATTTCTAATAATTTCTTGATTGTAAAATGAAACTATATTAATTACATTAATTTTTACTACATTTTAAAGGAAATATGGAAAACCTTTCAACTTATTTTCAAGTTGGGCTGTAATTGAGCTAAATCTGTGAAGAATATATATATATATATATATATATATATATATATATATATATATATAGATAGATAGATAGACACACACACACACAAGATAGTGCTAAAAAGTTTTTGACATCCTAAGATATGACTAAATAACTAAAAATCAAATTTATTTTGAAAGGGCTTCTTGGTCAAGCAGATAACCTTTACACCCAACCTTATATATATATATATATATATATATAGCTAAGCAGGTTTTCCTGAAAAAAAAAATAGTTAAATATTTTATTACCTAATTACATGTAGTTCCTCCATTTTGCTTGAATAATGATGACTTCATAACATGGTATAAAGTCAATGAAGTGCTGGAGTGGTAATCTAAGTATAGTTATTCAGGCACATTCTAGGGCTGTCCATAATCAAGTTGTGCTTGTTGGGTATGGCTGCAGGAAATTTATTGGAGTGTCTACAAAATGTTTCATACATATTTAATGTAGGGGGGTCAATGAAATACCTGGAAATGAATTCAGTGTTCTTGGAACCGGTTTCATGTCATACACACAAGGTGGGTTGTATTACTTTGCTAAAATAACTAAGATTACAGAGAAACAGGGTGAGCACAAAGAGGTGTGAATTGTCCGTGACATGAACTGTTTATGGCCGACCTGTCAGGAGCGACTTCAATTTTACTAGTGATTTTTCTGGACTTTAACAGAACACACCTCATATACAGCAATAGAGAACCACTACCATTTCACCTAATACTCTGCTGACAAGCAAGATCCATAGTACTACTGTCTTTATGTATAGACACAACAGAGTCTGCCAAAAGAAATGCTGGAAATATTGTTAAATGCCAATGTTCTCAGGCTGAAATGAGGCACAGTAACTGATAGTGGAATGTCAGTAATAATACTCTTATTGATAGATGACTATGGAACTCTAGGGAATGCAGTCAACAATGCATTGACTGATAGGTTCAGTGGCACCAGTATTAAATTAAGACATAATTTGATGCAATTTTCTCCCTTTGATTGGGTGGTTACCATGCCTGCCAGTTGTTGGCAGAGTGATTCTACAGTTTTCACATACCACTAATGCCAGTTCAGAATTTACATATTCCTGGTATATGTTTGCTACTGATGCTCAAGAAAAACCTAAAGTAATTGTCAACCTCAGATCTAGAATGGTCAATCTTTCTGGCTACAACAATAATTTCATAGTCAAACAATGTTAAATACTGTTCATATTCCATACTGTCAATGCTATACTTTCTATTTATCCATTATATTACACTTATGTCATCTGGCTGAGTCCATTTCTGTAAGTGGTGGGGAAAGGCAAAACCATCCATTGTATTTTTCTAAATTTTTGGCATTTCAGTTTAAATCCAATATTTGGTAATGTATATAATGTATTTTAACAGAAACTGAAGAATATAAATTTCACATTTCATAATAGAGTGAGACTTTAGTTTTCAAAATGTTTCAAGTGGAGATTTCAGTTCAAAAAATGTTATGAAATGATCCAAAAACCTCAGTCAAAGAACTTACAGCAAATTATAAATTTAAAACATTTCAAAGCAACTGGTAAGTAAAAAAACTTTATAAATGGATTCAATTTGTATTCTATAAGTATCATAACAAAATTTAATCTTCATGCCCATAATAAAGCAGTGTTTCAAAAGAACATTTTTCTCTTGACACCACTATTACTGTATACTACTGAGACTCCCTTAGCAATGTTTATTTACAAGATTATAAAAATATGTGAATCAAGTAAAATGCAATATTCATTATTTAGCATTTTATGAAGGTTTATTATTTATCATTTTATAGAGAAATAAATTTGGAAAGGATTTTTTTATACAAAAATTTATAAAAATCTACAAAATTTTCAAAGTATATCAACCAACTACAATGCAACATTTATTATTTACTATTTTATAAATAAATAAATACTATGAAAACAAGTTTTTTTTTTTTATTTATAATTTTATAAAAATATCTATGAATTATAGAAAAAGAAAATTTAAATAAACATGATTCTTCTGGCCATTATACATTTTCTTCTCAAATTATTTACATCTCCGATTACTTTTTGTTTTAATTTTTCCATTTTTTTATAATTTTGATAAGGATGCCTAATTGATAGAAATACAAGGGCTGGAACTCCAGTAATTATAGGTTACCCACCTTCCTACCTTTTTGTAAAGCATAATTTTGAAAAGTTTTTTTTTTTTTTTAAATCATTGCTAATTTTTCTAAAAATGCTTAGAAAATCTGCCAATAGATTATTACCAGCCAAGTGCTAACTGATAAAGAAATCTTAAATGAAGAGTGGGTACTAAGCACTTTGACTAAAGCAATTGACAAAGCTGGCAAATTGTGTTCTTTAGTTGGTAAAACACTGGTGAATTACCAATTGATTTGCACTTTATAAAATGGTAAATAATAAAGATTTCATTATAGTTGGATCACATATTTTAATAATTTAATATTTTTTATTGACTTGTTTAAAAAAAAAAAAAAAAAGAGAAACATGTTAGATTTATAAACATTTTCTCTTTGTTCTTTATCCTATCATTGTGTCAGATTTTGATCTGTATTCGATTCCAATTCAAATGTATTTGATTGTTTTCATATTTATTTCTTTATAAATTGGTAAATGATAAACATTGCATTGTACTAGTTTGCATTTTTAGAATATTGTAAATATAAAATTATTCTTGTAAATAGACAATCTAATAAATAGTGTTTATTTGTTGTAAATTCTCAAGAACAAAGAAAATGTATAAATTCACTTTCATCATATGTTTGGGCTTTATTAAAATTCTAATCATTGCTTTTTAAAACAATAAACATTGCCAAAGAAGTGAAAGTAATATAAAATAATAGTGATGTCAAAAGGAAAACTGTCCTTTTGGCATAATTTTTTTGCAAGTATGAAGGTTAAATTTTATGGAAACAACATAAAAGCTGATGAAGGCTTTCATGAATCATGTTCAATAGAAAGGAAATGATCTATTTTTGTATCATCATTTATGATGAAAAATAAGAATTTTATTAGGAGTAGAGAAAATTTGCAATGGACAATTTTAATCACCAAAATTTTTCTGAATTCACTAATCATCATTGAAGTTTATGGATCTGTTCTCAAAGTGAACAGCACAGACAATGTGTAGACCAGGTTGAAATATAAAAGTTAACAATTCAAATAGCACAAAGTTTGATAAATAGAAAAGGAGATCTTTTTTGTTGTATTATAATACTGGTTCATATATTCATATTTTCTTGCACTTTTCTTATTCATTCAACTTCTTTCATCCAATTGCCAAAAAAAGCATATAAAATTTTTTTTTTTTTTTAAACTTAAAGAACTTTTACCATCAGGATCAAACAAAGTGCTTCAAATTATTTAGTTCTTTGGAAGAGAATGAAAAACTTACTATCAGGTTAGATTGAGGTTAAAAAGAATTATTTGATTGGATAATTTTTTTAAACTTTATTTTGTTGAAATCAGTAGTTTCATACTGAATAAGCTGATAAATAAAAAAAAAGCTTTTTGCGACAAAATAAAAACTATAAATACAGATGAATTATTAATATCAAACTGAAAAATACATACTAAGAAAAAGAATTAGATATTTGGCAATACATTAATTTGAAAAAAATATTCTTTGCCATAAAAGAATATCACATATCACTATGAGTAGATTTTTGAAATTTTCAGATTTCTTAATTTAGGAAATTTTTGTAATGCAAGTGTAGAAAACTACAACAAAATTTAACATTTATTGTTAAAAAATAGAAAATTCTTTAAAAATCATTTTGGTGTTTGAGAAGAAACAGGATTCAAAATTCTCACAGTGAAGAAAATACTTAAAAAAGAATTTCTATAGAAGGAAAAAACTGCAAATATAGCTGTAAAAATATGACTATAAGAGAAAATTAATAGTTATAAAAGGAGTTGGCACATACAGAACAGCAGAAAATGACACTATCTTTAAAGTATCAATTAGATTTTAAGAGCAAAAGGAAAAAAAAGATGAAAGAAAATCAAATAAGTTTAAAAGGAATCTTTAATCTCTTCATTAATAGACATTGATTGGTCCCAAATGTAGATGTTTGGAACTGATAAGCTCTATTGAAACTTTGTTGGCTGTACAACCTATTGCCAAAGGATCAAATATAGAGTATTTTTTTGTTTCATACTTTGATGCAGCTGGAAATATACTACTTTTATTTTCTTCTTTTATAATCTACAAAGACTTTGATGCTTTAAGAAAGGAAAAAAAAATTTTTTTTCTTTTTAAAAAGGCCAGTTTTTAGATAAAAGGCAATTTCATGCATTTTACTTTCAATATTCGCCCAATTACAATGTTGGCATTTGAAGTCACATGCCAAGGATTTTAACAATCAATAACAGCCTATTGTTTCCAAGTTGAAAGATGTTTGTTTACCATTCTGCTAACAGAAATGTCTCTGGATATAAGATTGGTATAAAAAATACTGTTAATTTGTTGTATTTTTAATTTCAACTTTTCGATGAAAATAATTATGTGGTTAAATAATATGTTTATGCAAAAAAAAAATAAAAAGAATGTTGATAGCAACTGTAAATTGTGCATTGTTATTCAAGAACATGGAAACTTTCCAAAAACCTTTTGACATAGACTTATTAAAGAATATAACGTGAAAGAAAAGAGACATTCTAATAAAAAGAACTCAAGAAAGATGGTGAGTAACAAAGAGAGAACTATGGAAGCATTTTATTACCTTGCTTATCTTCTTCATATTGTTTCTCAATTGCACAAATGGCTTCTTGAATAGGGTCATTGAAAAAGCTTTTCATCATCAATTTTATTTAAATGCAAAACTTCATAGTCTACAGAACATTTAGCTCAGGCTCATTTTTTGAGGCTGAGGGCTGATATACCTGCTGTAACAAAGAAACAACACTTACACCACATTCAGTAAAATTATTTGCATCTTTTCTTTTAAATATAAATTATTTAAGTTATTAAATAATATAGAATAGAAATTTTTTTAATTTGTATGAAAAAAATAAAGACTCAAAAAGTTTCTTATGTTTATGAAATTTAATATTTCAATCAATCACCTTTGGTATTCTTTGGAAAGTAATATACATAACATATTCAATGATAAGCTCCAACAGACATGTTTTTGTCTAAAGAGACTTGAAGCTTGCTGATTTAAAAGGTTGAGATACATTAATCTAATTTCATGCAAGTTGATTTTTAGTTCTAAAAGTAACTGTACTAAAATATTCAACCTATTAATCACAAGTGAGATTTAAGGATTTGGCATGTTCTTATTAATTAAAAAAAGATAAACTAAGAAAAATAATTCTATTTAAAATAATTAAATCCATCCACAAAATTTTAAAATTCAAGTAACTATTGGGATCTAATTTGACAATAAAAAGTACCTAGCTAATTATTTAAATTTCAGTTTCCTTACTATGTTAGTACAGGTTTTTGTTTTTTTAATAAATGCTGAATTGTAATCTGATTATCAGGTAAGCATCATTAGAATATCTAATTGTAACAAGTTTGAATTTTTTAAAAAATTTTTATGTAACCCCCTGAACAGCTGTATTTGAATTTTTGTTCTAACCTTCACTACTGTATTAAAGGGTGAGTTTACTACTTTCAACACTGGGTAAAAATCATCATCATCAGTAATCCTACAGTTGGTTCCTTACAAAAGGAATTTCTAACACATCCCATGCAAATATGGAAAAAAATATAAGGGATAAATCAGCCTTACCCTTAAAATCAGACTCAAAGAACAGATGAAAGCTATATTAAAAAATGAAGCAGAAAAATCTGCTACGGTAGACCATATATGGAGAGGAATAGGTGCACATTGTTGGAGAGTGAGACAAATGAAAGAGGCATAAATTGACTTGGTTTATTTGTACAAGTTAAGTCCTAAATTCAATTTTCAGCTAAATATGATTTCAAAACAAAGGGTCCACAAAAGGAATTTTATCTTTTTTTTATGTATAAATTAGAATTTGTTAAATTGTTTTTATGTGAATGGTATTGCCTGTGTGGCTTGTAGACCTGGAATGGACTGAATCAATTGGTATATTAGCTATTAATTATTGTTCCCCATTTTGGTTGACAAAAGAACACACTCTTTCCTTACAGATTATATCCTTGAAGAATGTTACAGAATGTATCTGATGTAGATAACACCATCATCAAAATAAAAATGAATCTAGGAATATTAATGATAATATTAATATTATTAGTGGGCATGATTTATGATAAGCATAAATATTTCACATTACATAAATGTGACTTTTCCTCAGAATAAGATTTGGCTTTTAATCCAATAGTATTCACCAAGCTTAGATATTGACAATGTATTTTCCCCACATTTTATTTAAAATTTCAAACAAATTACAGTTTAACTGGGGAAAAAAAACTATTAAGAAATATAATGAAACTGATTGATTCAAGATTTCAGTTACAATGAGGAAAATAATCAAATTTAATACATTGTTTTTTTTTTTCGAAGGAAACTAAATTATTGTTATTGAAATGACTATTTCCTTTCATAATAGTTGATTAACAAATGAATAATAATTATTCAAAAAATGGCTGTGAGAGATAAAAAGTAGTTTAAAAATTTTGATATAATATTTCTAAGTCTTGTATTCAAACACTGGGATTTTTTTCAAAAGATATGCTATGGATCAATAAAATAGTTTTGTCTAAAGAGTCAAATAATCCAGCTATTAAGTAAGTGGACAAGAGATAATGGCCAAAATCAGTAGCAAAGATCAAGTGTTGGTTGTGTATAACAATGTCAAACCAGTCTAATCCATTTATACAGTTCATTTGATGATCATTAAGTAGAGATTGGTCTTGGATTTTTTAATTCTTGGAATGAACAAAAGACAATTCAACTGTGCAACTTCTACACAAATATAAAAATAATGTAAAAAAAATGATGAATAAAACTTTGATTATCAGAGGATAACGTATGTTAGCACAAAATCCACTATTTGGCAAGGAGAAGCATTTTTATTAAAATGTCTTTCAATATTTCTGTGATGCTTATATTTTCTTTTCAATTCAGTATAAAAAGCATTTTTTTTTTTACCTACTCAATGAAATACTAGTTTTATATATTAAGAATAAATGTTAATAGGGAAGGATATTATTTGAATATACATAATCTTAACTTAGCATAGAAGTTAATATTTTTATCTTTGGGTTTTTACTTTGAAATAGTATTTTGCATCAAATATCTGACCCACAAGAAATGACTAACTGTTAAGATATTAAAAAATTTATAATTGCAACATTTAAAATGTCCAAGAGCAACATGTATTTAAAATTTATAGATTACAGAAATTTATCAATTAAAATATTTTGATGTTTAATTCAATAATAAAAAATCCATTTCATTTTTATTTCATTGAAGAAGTACTTAAAAGTAAAAAAAAAATTTTATAATCAAATAATAAACTGATTGTTTTTCATGACTATTTACTATAGGCTATATTATTTAAAAAACATATTCTTTTTCTATATAATCTATATATATATATATATATATATATATATATATATATATAATAATGGACTCTCCTGTCGGTTTTGACGTATGAGGATCTGACAACTTAATTGATTCAGTTATGAAATTTTGTGCGATAATCTTAAGTGGCACTTAAGACCCACTAGTGATTTACAAAGGAGGCCACATATGGAGCAAGAGTGAGGATTGTGGGATGAGATCACTGTTAGATTGGCTGACCTTTTAGATCTTGCTCTTGCTTCTTGAAGATGATTCAGACAAGCAGATTGAAAACTGCTGAGTCCACTAAAACACGTTGATCTCCATTCTACCTGCTCCAAGGCTAAGTGCTCAAGGGTGTTATGAGGTATATTGACAGCTGAGAAGTTGCTCTTCAGCTTGTCTTTGTATCTTAGCCATGGGCGTCTTACATTTCTGTAGCCCTGATCTAACTGGCTGTACATTAGGATCTTGGGTATCCTGTCATCAGACATTCTCAAGACATCACCAGTCCACTGTAACTGAGACTGTATGAGAAAAGTTTCAATTCCTCCAATATTATACCTGTTAAAAAGGTCTACATTAGATGTTCTATCTTGAAGGTTAACTCTGCAGACAGCTTTTATGGAAAACATCTGGCTGGCATATATGGTACCTGTATGGAGTCCATGACTCTGAGCCGTACAAAAGGATGGCAAGGACAACAGCTGTGTAAAGCCGAATTTTTGTATCCAGTCAAATACCCCACTCATTCCACAAGTGATGACGAAGTTTGCTGAAAGTACTGGTAGCCTTAGTAATCCAATGCATGATTTCATCATGTAAAGTTCCACTGTAATTGACTTTGCTACCAAGATAGGTGAAAGACTTTACATAGTTCAGGGCTTTGTCTTCTACTTTCAATGGTCTCTCTGGAAATTTGTAGACTGGTGGTTTTTGTTTCTCACCACAAAATTGCTTTGGAGTAGGACAAGGTTGGTGCACTACTTCAGTTTTCTTTATGCTAAGCATAAGACCAAAGGCTTTACATGCAGCAGAGAAATGATTTATTAGATGTTGGGCCTCTTCAAATATAAATATATGTGTGTGCAAATAAAAAGGCATTTATATACAAGAGTAAGGGTGTCACTGGCTTATCAAGACTTTTATATTTGAGAACGTTCATGAATCCTAGATCTTGTATATAAGCCCATGTAACAAAATAAATCCTACATTTGCCTTGATAAAGTTCCCCAGAGGATAAAATGTGTCAGATAAGAATAGTCTTTCCTTTTGTCTTTTTATTCATTTTGTTCCTTTATAGATACACTTTATCTGAAAATAATTTATGCACACACACACACACATATGTGTGTGTGTGCATGCACAATATATAGTAGCTAAATAATAGTATTTAATGATTAACTTTCAGGTAAATCTTTTCATAATTTGATAGCTAGTTTCTCAATCTTTTTATCAGAGAAAATTATTTCAAACAAAATTAATTTCACTTTCAATTCAGAGAAAATCTTCTCAGTATGTTGATTTATTAACTTGTAATTCTCTTCTTATTTTCTTAAAGAAACAAATTTGAAACACTGATTAATGCACATCATTATTTATAAATTATTTTGTCAGTCAATTTGCAACTAAATGTACTGGCTAAGAAGTCATTTTTACTCTGACATCTTGTACAGCCAGAATATATATTAGATAAATAAATATTAATTATTAGATGTAGTATCAGTATTTATTAAACACTAAAACAATTCAGCCAACACTTGAGTGTTTCCAATAGTTTCAAGCAAATGTCAAATTCCTGAAAAATGTTAATAGATGATTCTGGAAGGCATTGCTTCATGCTTCATTTCTTTTTGGATTGACTGTTTCACCTTTGAATAATGAAAAATTATGAAAAAATTCAGGAATAAGAAATAAAAAGGTGTGTTCTGTTTTTCAAATTTACATATTGAGATTCAAAATCTATTAGTTAATCTAATGTTGCAAATCATTATATAAAATAATTAAATTAACAACCCACAGAAGAAAAAAAAGCAAGACAATTGTAGTGGATTTGAAAAAAATAAAAAAGATAATTAAAATATTTTTCTTGCTTACAAAGAATATGAATGTTTAAAACTTACTGTTTGATTTGGGCAGATTTATTCTGAAGAAATGGTTGTTCCCCCAGAGGATTCGGTCCCCATTCTTGACTTTGGTTCTCTGATGTATGACTGATCCATTCACACATGTTCTGAAATAACATAGAAAGGATGAAAGAAACAGATCAATAAAATGTCAGGACATTTCTGAAAGCAACAAAGTGTGAAAAAGCCACACCACTTGACATAATCCTTCACTTACACATAAAAAAAAAAAGATAAGAGAAAATAAGTCATTTGAACATTAAGACAAACAACAAAGAATATTTTGATGCTTATTTAATGGATTTTTTTTTTTAGTTTTCTGAATATATAAGAAAAATGAAGTCATTGTGAAGAAACAGAATTGCCAAAGATTTAAAAGTAAATGAAGCCATTTAAAGTGGAGGTTTTGGGGCTAGCTTGAAAATCAAAAAGTTCTAGGAGATGGCATAAGTGCAAAGAGGCCCGGAAAAAAAAAAAAATCAAAGTAGACCAGAGGAAATGGTAAAAAAAATCAAAACTAGAATTCACAATCATTGCTTCTCTATACTATGACAAAAATTAATAGAATACAAAAGAAAAATGAGAATAAAAAAGTTGTAAAAAGTTTTTTGATGAATCATAGAAAAGAGAATAAACATCTAATCAGTGTTAAAATATTCCATACAAAAAAAAAAAAAATTATGAATTTTTTTTTCAAGTTTCAAAGAAATTTTTATCACTAGAATATTTTTGCAACACACTAACGCCTGTTGAAATCCTCACAGTATTTAGTATTGTTGAAGTTATGGCTAAGATTTTTGTTAAGATTTACAAACTCTACGTTTCATTCAATTTCACAAACCAAAATATTAATTTGTTTTGAAAATAGTGGGAATATTTTGCATGTATAATAAAATATTTAATTTTTCCCCCCAAAATAATGAAAATTTATTGTAGTAAGCTGTACACCCTAGTAAAACCAACTATAGCTTGTACCCCTTTAGTTTGTTTGCACTTCTCTTCAAAATTAGGTTTTGATTGGTCAATGTATGGCTATTTAAGAGGGTGTGACAGACAGACAGAAGTCAAAGGATTTTATATATAGATAGATAGAATAAAGAAATGAAAATGATATTAGTTATTATGTTCTTTTGTATTTTTTTAAATCAAATTTTAAAATAAAAACAACTACTTTGCTACTAATCAATCTTACTGCTATATATTTGTAATGATATAGATACAGTGTTGGTAGGTGTCCCTGGTATTTTTATAAAAACATTGAAATACAAAAAATACTCTTTCTTATGAGATAAATTTATGAAACAATACATTTAGTAATGAAGAAGTAATATTTATTAGAATTCAAAAACAAATATTAAGTTTAACTATTATTGCTTGTTTTTTCATTATTAGAAATTGCCTTAACATTTCTAGTTCAAATCTTATGCTTTAGAGACAGGCATGGATTTATATAAATATATAGACTCCATTTTTGTTAATCTCTAACAGAATTTTTCCAGATTTTTAATGACTTGTTAAAATCAAACTTAATGTATCATATATATATATATATATATATATATATATATATATATATGTGTGTGTGTGTGTGTGTGTCTGAGTGCGTGTGACATTAGAGATTTTGAATTAATCAATAATGATGAAAATTATATAAAATGTTTTGAAATTAACAAAATTCTGAAATGTGTTCTTGATAAATATGGAATTCATCATGACTGAGACAAAAAGAAAGAACTTGAGTATCATTGCTATTAATATAAATATACAACTAAAACTCCATTAAATTTTGCTATGCAGCCCCATGTTGCAGAATCAAACAAGAAATTCAAAATGGTAAAACAAATTGTAATCAAATTTGAATAATGTAAAATTATAAAAATTGATGGACACTATTTTTGGTTTATTGATAATGAAAATATAAACTATAAATATGAAAATTTTAAGTTGTAATAATAAAGCATTAACTTATTTATTCAAATTTTATATTTATTTTTATTGTATTTAATAACATAAGAACTAATCAGCAAGTTATTTTAATCTAAGCAATACTATTAATTGTTTTTGTAAAAAGATAGTAGTTGAAGCCTGTAAAAGGAAAAAAGATTTCCAAGTTTAGCTTTGTTTTTATTTATAGTCTTCTATAAAGTTACAAAATAGCTTCTACATTGTATCAACAATATTAGAGTGAGTAAAATTACTAGGTCTCCTGCCTCTGGGAGAAACTGCATTAATAATCTTAGATACTCAATACTTTCATGCTTAAATGTGCATAGCATTGCTTGAGTAGAAATTTCTTATAATATGTGATATGTTCTACTCATAAAAATGAGACCTGGGAATACCTATGGCTTCAGGGCAACAAAATACCTCATTTACTTATCAATAGTTTGGATCAATCAGTTTTTAAAAATATTACCATCTACAAGAGGGTAATATTTAGCTTTAACAGGACAAATGGGAAAAATCTATAGTTTCACTTCAAATTTTGGATTATGTAAATTGATGTGATACATATAGATAATTCTAAAAGTTTCTAATATTTGCTTATCATAAAAAGCAATGAAAACATTTATTACTAAAGGCCTGTTTATGTATTCAGTTAATATTTTTATCAACTATCATTAAAATGTAAAAATCCTTTCAAACAATCATTTTAAAGTGTAATGCAAACTTTCACATAGAGGACTGTTCAAATAAATCAGACAATATATCATGTAGGAATCATTAAATTTGCCCTTATACATATTAAGCAAAGCTCTAAACTGATAAAATTTAATTTTCTCAGATAATGGTTTTATTCAATAATGAACGAATCAATTAAGTCTACCATAAAAGACTACATTTAAAAATGGAGGTTGGACACATTAAATAAGTTATTCAGATATTTGCTATTGTCTGACTTGCCATTTAAACCTTTGTTCACAATTCATACTAAGCTATTCTTACTGAAGTGCCATTTGCCAATGAAAACTCTTTTGTGGTTAATATTCTGATTAGTGAACAGGTTTTAAAATAAATCTTATCACTGGATGGAAGGTACATTTCTGTTTAATAATGAATTATATTGAATATTGTAGAATAACTGTCAAAGAGAAAAAATAATTTTACCCAGGTTTTCTTTTATCAACTTAATATTTGGAATAGAAAGTTTAATTCATTATTTGTCATCCACACTATCAGTGCAAGGATTCAGTTTCCCAGTCTGTCTTTTATCAGAAAATTAGTCCAATGATTTACTGAACTATCAATTCTGAGATTAAATCTGACCATCTCCTAGAACCTTATTTATCTTTGGAGTCTGTAACTATTGGATATATGTAGGTAAATCAATAGGTTCATCAATAGCTTAATGATGAAAAAGCATTCATTTTGCAATAATCTCCTTCACTGTCAATGCACTTCATTCTGTGGTGAATATTAATCAAATAGAACTAACCTGATACATTAAAAATTTCACATCAAAATTTTGTTAGTAGCTCTCAAGTAATCAACCTATTGATTGTCCCTTGTAGTTCTATTATGACATAAATTAATCTGAAAAATGATCTTATTTCCCTTTTTTTCATACTAATAAGAAATGGCTAATTTGCAGTATAAGTTGCAAAAGCCCCCAGTATTGAGAATGTACCATTCTGGTGTGAAATTGCTTGGTTATTTTGAAAATGACATTAAAATATTGCACTTGATTATCGTTTTTGGTTTATTGTCAATGTAAGTTCAATCTCTTTCACATTGCCTGGCATTGTTTACATACGTTTTCCTCTAGTAGTAATGTGTGTAAGCTTACTTAGTTAATGGCCTTTTTACAGCTTTTCGTATCTTACTGGTCTTGATTACTGCACAATTTTCATGGATGTTATTTTAAAATGCATTTATTTTTTAAAATGAAGTTTTAAATGAATAGTATTTTTTCTTTATTGTCCTTAATAAATCTGCTTATAGATAATGAAACAGAATCTCACCCTAAAATGAGGTGATGCTTTAAATTCAAGATACTTTCACAACACATAAAAAAAAAAACATTATTGAAAAGAAGGAAAAAATCCTTTTTTTAATTTTCAAGCACATAATTTTTTTTTTTATTTTGTTGGATTTTACATTTTTTTCATGCATTATTTTGTGCCTTCATTTCAAACTTTGTGCACTGCGTAGTAATCAAGACAAATGAAGTTTCCACACCACATGACTACTCAAGGTAAACGTATTTAAACAAAACCAGTAATGGCAGACGTTCTGTGTACGTGACAAGAAAGAAGTCGAACTTACATTGTCCATAACTTCTAAACGGTAATAGAGCACAATGTTTTAACATCATTTTTGAAATAACCAGGCAATTTCACAACAGAATTGCACATTCTCAATGCTGGGGGCTTTTGGTGATTATATTGCAAATTAACCTAAAAAATGACACCATGATTTTCAACATATTAAAGCTTAAATAAGACATATGGCACAAAATATCAATTCTTTTTCCATTAAGGAAGTGCATAAAGGATAATGTCTAATACTTCACAATTCCATGTTTAACAGGTTTGCTGACAACATATCAAACTCCAACTGGTAAACAAACAAGGATTATTAATGATAAAGTCTTATGCCAAAAAATACAAACATTTATTAAACAAACCAATGATTGATTTTTATCTGCATTCCTGAAAGGAACTGAACAGAGGAAGTAGAAGCAATAATATTTATACCTTTTATAATATACATCTTATCAGCACTAAATTTGATCATAGTATGCACTGGTATGATTGCCTACAAACTTATTCTATGGGCCAAACAATAAAAAATACAACTGAGCTACAACACATGGGTCAATATGAAATATCTTTTTTTTAAATAATTTCCTTACAATTATCTGTTGCATAAAGATTATTTTGGGAATAATGTTCTCTACATTGATTGAATAACTATTTTCCTCAAAGCATATTTTCAACAATTACTGCGTGTGTGTGCATGAGAGAGAGAGAGAGAGAGAGAGAAGGTTAATTGCCTTCAAATTGAATAGTTAAAAAGATCTTTACTCCTGTACAAAATATAGAACAGATAAGAAAGGCATTCAACCTTTAAAAGATAAAGAAAAAATAAAATTTAAGATTAGAAAATTGTGTTATAATTGGTGCATGTTTTAGAAATATTTTGTTCTCAGGCTTATTAACAGTTTATTTCAAAGTGTAAACAACTTTTTAAAGATAAAAATATAAAAATAAGTGCAAAATAGAAGAAAAAAATTGTAAAGATTTAAATTAAGAACAAAATGTAAAAATAAAGAGTTTTTTATTTTAAATTTCTTTAGTTTAGTTTTGATGGATTTGCAAAGTTTGCAATGTGCCCCAGTGAAAAGTTGTAATGATGCCCTTGAGCCAAGAAGCAGTAGCAGCTGATAATTAGGCTAAGTTTTTCTTTCCCCCTTTTTTGTTCTCTTCATATATTGTCATCTAGGATGGAGAAAGAAAGGGGAAAAGAAAAGATTAATATCTGGAAGAATAAGATGATTGAAAATAAAACAAGAAAGAAAACTAGAAAAGAAGAATGCATAGAGAGGGTGGGAGACCATATTAGAGAAGAGTGCCCTATCCAAATAGATTCTGTGTAACACAGTGGAAAAATAATCAGATATAAAATGAAGCTAGCTTTGTTTTTAACTTGCTACTGGCAAAGAAAAAAAAAAAGAAAAAATTTATTTGTGGACTTCAACTTGGGCAAATGTTCGAAGTAACAGCAGCATTAATAATACAAGATCAAGTTTAGCCCTTCTTTATAAGTGCTGGCCTTGAGAAAAGAAGTTGAAACAAAAGGTGTTTTATGAGGTGGGGCAATGGATACAATCCAAGAGAAAAACATTGTCATGACATAAACAATATCAGCAAGAGTGGCAGTGTTACAAATCAGAATTGGTAATTTGAATAAGCAATATATTAGCTCCATCAAGATTTGATATTTAAAAGAAAATGAATTTTCTCATTACTTGCTTTCTCTTTATATTGTTACTGAAAAATGTTTCAATCATCCTTTTGAAACATATAAATTAGCATGCAGGAAACACTCTTGAAATTCTTTAGTCTTTTATAACTAAATTAAAAAATCCTTTCTTGTTAAATGCCTATACGCACTGCCTGTTACTATGGTAATGTCATTATCTGCCACAGATTCTGGTGTTTATTTACAAGCTTATTTTTTACTTACTTGAAACTTATAGAAAAATAATAGAAAATAATATATCCTTCATAAAAAGCCGTAATTCAAACAATCATTTATTTATTGTTTGTATCCTAAGAAATAATTTCTTTATAACTCTAAGCTATGATAATAAACAAACTGTTACATTAAATTAAAATGATCCACAATGGCTGCCAAAAACATTAGTGTCTAACAGAAAATCACTTTATTTTTAAACAATGTATCTGTAAAAACTATTTTTTTACCGAAGTTTGTCAGTTGGTTAGAGAAAGCAATAATAGACAGATAAAAATGAAATCAATAATTAATCTGTAGAGTACTACTTAATTTCTTGCATAAAACATGTTTAGTAACAAAGAATGAGACATTCAATTCTAAATAGTTGCAATTTAAGCACTCAGAAAAAAAACAGTAATAATATTATCCATTGGCAAAAAGTTAGTAAAACTCTTCCCTCTTTTGCTAAGAATGAAATATTATTAAACTATATTTTATCATAATTTAAGATAGAGACTACAGTGAGGAATAATGGACATATTACACTTAAAAAAACAAAACAATCAAAAATGTTTTTATTGTTATTCTAGTTACTATTATTTCAGCATTTTACTTCAAATAGAAAGAAAAAAAAAAAAAAAAATCTAGCTGAAAGACTTACATTGAAAAATAGCAAAAAGGAAGATAGTCTTTCTGACAGATTTTGTTCAGACTACCAAGTTTTTAATGGCTAGTAACAGAGTTTATAAATCAACTGTGGCAGCACAAATTAAGTTTAAATGGCTTTTTAATTCGAAACACAATTTTACACAAAAAACAGTTTCAAATTGAATTTGGTTAACAGTTCTCATAGCTCCATAGTTACAAATCACTGTAAATGTAATAAAAGATTTTAGCATCTACAGAACAAATTATTTAAGTCTTTTTAATGAAAGAAATATCCACACAGATGTTTACAAAAAGAAGATGCAACAAACCATAAGAACTTCTCCAGTGTTATGTCATAGTAACTTGATTTTTCTCATTTGTAATTAGCATTAGCATAAATGTGAACTTAAAAGATAGGAGACAGGGATCTAGTGGAAATACATATCCAAACCTCTAAAAAATTTCAGTGTTAAAAGGTCAGAGTCAAGTGTGGGCAATTTTTTTTCAACTAGAGTATTTCAGAGAATGAAAAAGAAAAAAAAGATGACAGAAACAGAAAATAGTATGTTTCACACTATGATATATATGCACTTACATTCAAAGTATATACAAATATAAAAGCCACAGTGATTTAGAGCGACATATTCATAAATATAGAAATACATTGACAGAATCATTACACGTACACACCTATTCTTTTTCAATTGATGTCCCCCCACAAAACTAAGGAGGTAATTTGGATAATAAAAATTAATGAAAATGTTTTCATATTACTAACAAGAAGACCATTTCCTTTGTTCCTTGATAATTAATGAACATAAAATCGGTTTTTTTTTAGTATGATGGAATAATAGTGGCATAAGCTTAAAGTATTTGGAAGGAAATCAAATGACTATTAAGAAACCAAGAAAAGATAATTATAGAATACAACAAAGGATTCACACAAAAACATTGAACAAAACCAAAGAGTTTTGATCAAATAAAAATACTGTTATATCAAAGAGAAAGTTAAAGGAATCTTAAGATGAAATACAGAAATAAAAATCTGAATAAGAGAAAAAAGAGAGAACAAAAAAAAAGATAATTTTAAAAAAGATTTAACTACAAAAGATCCCAACAAACAGTGTTGTTAAAAAAAAAAACAACTTGATTATGAAACAAATTAAGCCAAATATAATCTCTAATATTCACAGCACATCCTAAAAACAATTACAACACTTTAAAAATGGCCAGAAAAAAAATTTTTGTAAGAAAGGAAAACAATGTACTTGGCAAACTCTGATAAAAATGAAAGCCAGCAAAAAGAGAAAAATTCTAATTTTTGCACTCACAAAAGGGAAAGAAAACATGAAAAATTTAGGACTACTGGGTATGTCAAGAAATTCACAAATGTAACAAGATAGCATGATATTTTCTGACCAAATAGAAATCATTTGCAAACAGTATATTCCACTATTTTAGACAGTAGCAATCAGAGATTTACTTGAAGACTTGTCAACAGTATCAGCTGCTATTCATAAAGAGAATATTAGGTGTTAAGATTGGATTTTATATAATGCATATTGCTCTCCAAAAAATTAAAGTGAATTTTATTGCCTTCATCACTAAACCTTATTTGTTCTTTGCTTTTAGTCCTTAACAGGGAAAATACCATTTCATTAACATCTTTTGGTGATTAATGTACCAATAGAAGTTAACTCTATGCTCAGATTCATTTATACATTCAGTTGTTGAGTTATGATTAATAAAACTGTATTGAATAAGTACAAGAAATTGTACTGCAAATCACACAAGCCTACAAACTCAAGGAAATTGGCTACAATACAATAAATATTTTTCAGGATAAAACAACCAAACTAATGATATATTTTAAAGAATTAGTTAATTGATTTCATAATCCTTTATACTAAATTTTTGTTTTTCCTGACATTTCAGAAGTTGGACATTACTTGACTGTGTCCATTTTCACTCCAAGTACATGATGTTTAGTACTGGGTTATATGATACTTGTGGTAAAAATCCTGATTTTGCCAAAGTGCAAATTAATATTAAACTGTTATAGATGCCATAATAAAAATTATGATAAGAAGACTAGAATACCACAAGGTGGGGGATGTTGAAAAGTTCTTGGCTTGACCCACTTCCTAAAATATAACTAAATTATCAACATCAAATTCTTTTTTTTTTTTAATCTCTTGTTGGTTAGGCCAAGAACTTTTCAATACTACCTTGTATATTTGAAGAAAGCCATTCAATATCAAGGCATGATTAAAGCTTATTACCATGTTTATAAGCTGACTTTAATGCCTAATAAGAGTTCATCTCCAAATACAATAAAGTGTTTTAAAAATATATCTGACTTCATTAGAAAGCATAGACTTTAATGGGACCATGACCAAAGTAATATAGGTTGAAAGAAAGAAAATAAACAAGAATAGTATATTTAAATATAAATTTGTAAAGAAGAAATTTCTTCCTTTGCTGAAAGTAACAGATAAATGGAGGTAGGGAAAATTTACCTTGCTCCTTCAAGAGGGGTGAGGTAGACATCATTATTGGCAACAATGTCGACAATGCAATGCTCAGGCATAATGCCCAGACCACTGAGATGGATATCCTGTTGAACTGCTGCATCAGTGCGCCCAACCAACGTATGCTCCTGCAACAAAAGAACAATAAGGCCTTTGAACATTTCAACTCACCATATCCTGCAATTAAAGCATTAAAGTTGGTAAATGAACAAACCTGGGATCATATAACAGTAATTTAGCAACTGTCAAGTCAATATAAACAAATTAAGATGAATATGCATGACATAGAGAAAAAGGGAAAGACATAAAACAGTTAAGATATGCATATGAAGAGTGTATAATATTTACAAGTGGCCAATAGAAGGTTGATAAAAGTTAACTGAATTGTAATAATTTTATAATAAAAAAAAGATAAAATGATCATAGACATAATGAATAAAGTAACTAATTCATTAGAATCAAAGGGAATTGAAAGGGGTTTGTTGAGATTTTCAGTCAGAAGTGGGATGGGGTACTCCAGGCTAAAAATGATGAGGAATTATGATTTGGAAATTATATATAAAGAATAGATCAGAGTGAAAATTGAAAACAAAGTTGTTTAGAAAGCATACAAATCTAGAAAATTTCTAGAACTGATGATCAATATATGATAGATTGTTAAAATGGCTTTATAAATTATTAAAAAATTTTTTTGATTTATTATATTTTCTACTGATCTCTTCAGCAAATTTTTATCTATTTTCCTTTTGTGTTGGTTTATATAATTTCTGAGCTGGTGGTTTTCTAAGTATAAAATTTCAAGATTTTTGTTAAATATGGTAGTTCACGTTGAATGGAGAATTTAATTTACTTTTCTTAGATATACATTACAAATATGGCTGAGGTATAAAATTAGCACAACAAAAATAAAATTTACAGGGAACATTATTAATAATAAGTGAACATTTATTAACAATTTCTACTTAAATTTCCTGTTTTTAAATGAAAAAGAAATCTCTGGGAGGATATAACAGGTCTTGTGTTGATTCTTTATTTTCAAAGTATCCAATACATTGTTATTATGGATAGCAAGCCAAGTACTTAAGACTCTAGCAGTACAACAAATAAATTATGTGTACTAAAATGTTTCCCTTACCAAAAAAAGATGTCTTTATAAAACAAGTTTTTTTTTATATAATATAGCAAGATCTTTGGGTATAAATGTGTGTGAGTGAGTCCTAATGTAACACCTTGTGACATTTTTCTTTGGAGCTGGTTAAAGGAGGAAGTCTATGAAACCAAACCAAGACTTTGGAAGAAAAGCAAATATACAAGAAGTTATGTCTTCTATACCACAAGAGTTCCTGGTGAAATCAGTTGATGTGATTCCTGGGCAGCTTGAGAAGCTGATAGCAAAATCTGGTACCCATATCAAATTTCAAATAAAAACTCATGTTAAATGCTTTCCTCTCAAATCCATTTCTTGTAAAAATTATAGTTAATAAATAAATTATAAGTATTTTAAAAATGGGAGTTACTTTTTAATCATCCTATATATATATATATATATATATATATATATATATATATATATAAAATGTGAACAGGTAACTTTGAAAATATTTGTGCCTTGTGGAGTGTGACTATTATATTTTACAGAAGTTTTTTAGCTCTAGCTTAAAAACAGCATATATTATTATACTTAATACTGATTGAAGCTTAAACCTACACCCCTATCACAAGGCAATAAGTATTGATAACATAATTCAAATTTTTCAATTTCTGATGCCTTATGAGGAATTATAGAATAACAAATATTAGAATTTTATTGATTTTGCTGTATTCTCCCATTCTAAACAGAAATAAAAGCATATAAAGGGCATACAGATACATCAACAAATTTCAGACACATTTTTCATGTTGTTTTTGAGCTTTTTTTGAATGTAATAACTTGGGAGCCACACAAGTGTTTAGAAGCTGATGAAGAAGTAGATCGATCAAATAAGTGTGTTAACTTGCTGCCAATGCTTCACTGAGATCAGACACCAAAAGTTAAGGATAGAGATAAACCAAAGAGATGAAGCAGGCAGATTTCCTATCACTGATAACAGATTCCTTCTAACAAGATCACATGCAAGATGCTTCTTGCCTGGTGGGCCAAAAACAAATACAAAAGGAGAATCACTACAAGTCATTAGCAAGAAAGATCTCAGGAGAAAGAGAGGCCTGGGCAGGTTAGAAGGTGGGGGATAACAGCAGCAACCTGATGCATGCTGTTTGGCGATGGAATAGAGCCATTATGTGACAGGCAGTTACAAATCAATACAATCAAGTGGTGTTGGGCCATTCAACACAGGCACACTGTTCATGTACAATCTGCAGTCAAGCATAAAGGCCAATTTTTACCACCAAGCTGTGACATTTTCACTTGAATACAAACATAAATTTCAGCACATTTCATCATTGGCCAGATTTATTTTTTGGCCTACAGCAATGATAAACATGCTACAGAGACTTTCTTGTACATTTCAGGATGATCACACTGCAATTATGGTTTAATATTCAAGAGATGAAATGTCAGTAGCCTTTATAGCTTGTTCTAGATTATAATCTTCATTCTTACTGCAGTGTTTTTATTTCTATTAGATGAAGTATTGTCAACTGTTGTTAATTTTTGACTACTCTACTTTGGTATTAATTTTCAGTTGCTTTTTATTGCAACTTTCTTTTATTCATCAGATCAATTTATGACAGTAAATAGACAATGAAGGTTCAGAAAAAAAAAGAAACTATCAGTGAGATTTAAATTCATGTTCCTTTTCTATTCATAAATCATTAACTATTCTCATAAATATATAAATGCTTCTTGTATATTCTGTAGGTATTTTTTTTATTGCCAATGTACTTTTTCTACCTATTGTGACCAATTTTCTGCAAACTGTGATCAATTACATTTATAAATATCTGTCTTTATACTGAATTGCAGTCAAAAGAACATTAAAAAAAATGTGCCATGTGCGATAAAAGAAAAGCTAAGAGCAAGTCATAAAATTCAGAAACAAAAGTAGATGATTAAAAAAATGCCAAGATTGAATTTTGTCTTTGCAGCTGTTCTGTACAAAGGAAAATAGATTCAGATTGCTATTTTCTCAGAATCAAATCTATTTTCTATTTCTGTACAGTAGTTGTTTTGGTCAGAAAAGTGATCCTCGTAGCCACTTTCATCCATTTGTTTGTATAGCCTCAATAGAACACAGGCTCTGTGGAGCCACCTTGGCCTCAAGCTTTTAACAGAA